CCCCCCGCTTGACAACCCACTGACAGTGCTAGATTTATGCACCAATTTACCAGCTCGCGCGTGCAATGCGCAGCTACCTACCCCTCCCCTCAAATCATCGGTGAGCGAAACTGTGGCAGCTACAACCAGTGTACGACGAGTACGCGGTTCTTACAGCAGACAATGATGATGATGATGATAGCGTTCCGATCTCTTGGAACGGGAACCTCATTAACCTTGAATATACAGATGGCATTCTTCTTTTTGAGAAATAGGAAAAGACCTTATACGTTCATAGAAAAACTAATTAAGGTCACTCAGTCCTTCGGCGTGTGTCCCGCACCCGAAAATCCAGTCATGTCGTGGGGCGTACGGTCTTTGAGCACGTTTCCTAAGTTCAAGGAGAGATAATTGAAGTTCTGTTACACTATATGTATCTTGGAAGTTGCACTAGCTCTGACAGCAGTGTAACAGACAGTCAACGCACAAATTCCAAAAGCCAGTTTTTTCACCAGCTGAGGCATCGAAAAAAGTATGTTATTGCGTCTCAGAGAACACGTTCGTCGGACTACGGTGTGGGCCGTTTAATTATGTGACTGCGGGACGTGCTCACTTCGGGTGGAACATCTGAGACATCTTCAGGTCGCTTACCATAGTTGGTGTTGGCTTGAATCGGAAAATTCCGAGATGGTCGGGTAACTGGTGTCTACTGAAGCTCAAAGAATGCAAATAGCTTTGTAAGCTAAGGTGGTTGGTCATTTGCTGCGGATGTTGGTTCAATATCTGCCGAGAAGAGCCTTGTTTTTCGTGTCTAATTGTGAGTGGTGGAAACTTAGGGGTGGACAGAATGTGATATGGTAGAAGTGACCAATCAGTGTTACGAAAAATCCGGGAGCTGTTGGTGCTGTTCATCCTCGAGAAGCAGGACTAAGTGACTCTCCCTTTGTTTTACCGGTGACTGAACGATTTAGCGGCTAACCGATGAGTACATGCGGTGAGTTTCAATTCATCCTGTTTGGCTGAGTATTGGAGGTTTAGGCACGTAGGATGCCTTTCACTCGATAGTCCTAGATCTATTCTTCCTGTCCCCTTTCTTCCATCGTGCGATATTAAAGACCAGCGTTTGTCTCCGGTGTTGCTGTTCACGATTTTGATTATTATGACTACTAGCAGCGGAAGACTAGGTATTTCGGTCGCGAGTGGCTGGTGAGCACTATGATTGCCTCGCATTTAGACAGGACACAACGCCGCTCATCCTTTACCCACGCAATTTGCGTCTCGTGTTCACGTGCTAACTGAATCCTGGAGTGGCGACTTTTCGGATTCAAGGCTCACGCAAATTGAGATATCTCACCCTCTGAAAAGGTCGATTACGGTGATTACATTACTTCGCATGTTTAGTTAGCCGCCGGAAGTCGTCCTGGTGAACTACACACAACGAAACACAGAAGCATAGTTACAATAGAGAGATGCCCAGTTGTTCACAACGGTAGATGCTAGGAATAACTGGAATCGCTAGAATAGTTTGTACGTTTCTAGGACACGTTTACTGAACTAGAGTGGAAAATTAATGCAATTTTCAGTTCGCTGCATTTGCCTAAATAACCATTTATCAGGACCTTGTGTTGTTTTGAAGTGGCCGTGAGCCCGGTCTTTTTAGTGCTGCAATAACTCAGATTCTTTTTTTTAGATCTAATTCATTTTGGGAGAGAACTTTTTCTCGTCATAGTAACTCTTCCAGTCAGGCAAATTAATGCTTGTTCCAACGGATACTAAGATCATTTGCCAGTCTGCCAGCACACAGACTGCTATTTGACCATACAATGTGATAGCTGTTCCACAATGTGCACAGCAACGTATGTTCACTTTCTGTGAACAGTGTAATTTGAAATTCAGCACTTACGGAATTGTATATTCGAGTGTCTCGGCTTCAGCATTCTCACTTCTGATAATATTACTGTCACCAGCATTCATGGATAACGTGGGACACATCTTGTTTCCCCCATTCAATGGCATGTTGGTTTATTTGAGGCTCCATACAAGCAGGAACAGTTTGGAATATGTTCCGCGACTTTTTGTGTAGGACGTTGATTTGTTTCTGCTGATTCATAGATCGCCACATGGGCAAACACGCCAGTAAGTCAGATGGGAAGGGTAAAAGTCCGGTAAACGCGAAATGTGCAGATGGATCGGTACTGAGTGGGTGGACGGCACTATTTTCGGTGCTCCAGTCGTATGGGTCTGATCTGTCGGGCGTGCGCTGGTGCAGTCAGGGCAACACTTTCGCCTCGCATGTCGGAGCTGCGGAACTCAAACCCCGGCACTGCCAAGGATATGCATTATTAATGAGATCTAATGAGCGAAACTCCGGTCCAGTGCTTCCCCCTTGGTCTGGACTCACCAGAACGATTGCACCAGCATAGTAGGACGTCTTTTCAAACAAGAGTGATGTGAGTGCGTATTCTACAATTCCCGCCTCGTCGTCGTCAACACTGATAGCAACATCAGATAAGAACACTGGTGCTTCACTGCCGACAGCCGATTCATTTCATTAATGCAGAGAAGAGAAATTGGGTATGCAAAGGAATCTAGGGCTAGCCTACAACAAACGTCCTGGGTGGCTACACCTCCAACACTCAATCAGTTTGGATAAAAACTGAACGCATGAACGCCGTGGATACCGGTTGGTCGCCAAGCGCAGGGAGGGTCACTTAGTTTCTATCTTGGGAGGCGAACAGCCCTAACAACGACCTTGTCATGTCAAATTCTAAGCACCTCTAGGTTTCTGCCACAGTGGTCGTTTCGACATGCGTAACAAACGTCCACTCACCTTAGCTTTCCCTGCCAGATGCATTTTTTGAAGGAAGTATCCTCAGTTTCCCGCGGGAATCGAACTATTGTGGAGGCCATAATTTGAATCCAACCATGGTTATGGATCCAAGACAACCAGTTGTAACACTAGTTGATTGGGGTGTCTCTAACTTGCGTAGAATGGGCTGGTGGCTACCATAAGCAATAGTCAAACTATGCATGAGAGGCATATGAACATGTTTGGTCTTGTTGGGTCCTAGCATGGGCGTTGACAGTGGTCTATTTGCCTGTCTCCTATCCGGCGCAACGGTTTTGCGTATTGTCAAGCCCGTTCTTCGTGAGTTCGGTGTAAGCAAACAAAAAACTTATATATTCAACCAACGATTCATCTTATTATACGTTCACTTCGGTTTAGCTTCTGTCCCGAGGTGTATACTCGGTGACCAAAACTATTTTAGCAAAGTATTTTAACAAGATAGGTATGTAGGACGTGGCAGAAAAAGTGTTAGCTGAGGCCAATAACCTATGGAACCGTAATTTAGTTTGAGCATCATCGTCGTCTGGTGCCAACGAAATCCAGCATTCCAGGGAGTTCGCGCAGCTTCCGTAGTATTTATTCATTTTTTCCGCTACTACACTGTTTTTTATAGCCTTTGTGTTGAATGAGAGAATATGGGCTCTCAATATGCGTTGCTTGTCATGACATGTCATGACTTGTATCTCCACTGATGTACCTTTGAAGGCCAGTTTCTTAATTAGTTTTTGACTAAAGAGGAGGAACCGAGTCGTTTGAAGGTTGAAGATGAAGTGTGCGGTGTCGTCTCAAGCACTCATTGATTCCTAGTGCTATCCGGAAAACTGTCATAGATTCCTCATTCTTTGACACCTCCTAGATTGCAGTAGTACATGAATAAGATGAGACCCGATTTTCTGTTTATTACTTTTTAATAGTCCTCCCCTTCTTCCCGTTATTTCGTTTCGGCCAGCAAAAGTTTGGAGAAGATGAGTCTTTCCCGAAGCTGGTCTAAGATGCGAACTGGGTGTCCAATAACTTCTTGGGTATGAGAACAATGCCGTGAACATGTATCACTTTTCATTGAAGTTCTTCAACTTCACTCCTTGATTTTCGATGAATAAACGCACACTTATCGGGTTGAGTGCTGTGCTTTAAGTGCGTATTTCTATTGTACGATGGTCAGCGAATTCTCGTTCGGGTTCTCATTTTTGGACAGTGGATTTCCAACAATTCAGCTTCTAACCTGTCTCTCTGGATATGCTAAATCGCCTTTTCATTGGTTCTCTACGTTCTCTTTGTCAATAAGCTTGGTCAGGCCGTACACATATCTGCTGTCGAATCATCACTGCTATGTGTGATTGAGTTCAGGCTACACCCCGCTTGAGTTGTCTTAGTTTACCTCAGCCAAAACATCGTTGTTGATCATCTAAATCTCGTCACATAAAGACGAGGGTACTCGGCTCCAGCAACTAACGGAACCAGACAGCTGACTTTGACTAATCGGTTCCGATTCTAAGTCAGTACCGCAATTAAGTTAAGCACCTCGGTGAATCCGTGGGACTCATCAGAATAGCGGTTTCAATCGGCCAAACATGTTCTGTGGGGTTTAGTATTTCAATACCGGTGGTGGTGCTGGTCACTACTTAGCATGCTTTCTAACAGGCTCAGAATAAGGTGGCCTATCAGTTCTGCGACTGAGTCGCCTCGATTTTTTCTGCCCCTGTGAAGATATTTCGGCTTTCGCGCTTTTTTTCTTACTTCCTGGCACTCACGCGCTGAGTCTGTCAGAGTTGGGGGATTTTCCCAGGTGCCATCAATTGACTGACGGCATGTAGCGGTTGCAACAAAATTCTCAGCCCTAGTGAACAAGCCAAGGTCCGACAAGGAGCGTGATCACTAAGGGTATTTACCGTAATCTGTTCATAAGTTATGCCTCTGAGGAGAAATGACTGTCCTGGTTGGTTCACAAAAGCTTTGGTACCGTCGCCCTAGAGGAATGTTCGCTCTTCCATAGAAGTCAAACGTGTTTCCCAAGTGTGTATCCATCTTGGCGAACGCAGTGGTTGATTCATAGGTTTGGGTTGATTTCATACCGCCCTCTACCCTGGAGCGCACCGTGTCGGCTGGGTGAATATTTTTGACTACTTTGCAGTTGGGATTCGTCGAGCTATGTAAATACACTAGACCCGATTCTTTAGGGTCCACGTATTGGATGTCTAAACAGTGACTAGTTACGGATGAGAGCTGTCTTGTTAACTAACTACTCACTTGGTTGGCCGACATTTCGGAACTGCTTCGGGATTGTGATTTTTTATAGTTTCGCATTAGGCGTACGATATACCCAGCCGATCCATACTCAGTTGTTTATGCACGATTGTTGGAGTATACAGTTTGAACTTAACCAGTCTAACAGTTTGGACCGGTAGCGCTAACTTGCAAGGAAACTTTTCAGGGGGAATACCGGGCATTGTTTGTCAAAACTACATAATTCCTGCCATAGTTACACGACCACTAATAGTTCAACATCAAATTCGGCTTGATGAGCAACTATTTGGAAGCGCTTGGAGGTTCGGTGCACTTGAAAAGGTCATCTAACATGGAGTCCACCCTCCAGTCTCGTAAGTGACGGATCACTGGCGCCTCTGTGTGATTGTTCGGTAACTTGATCGCAATAATCCTCGAAGACTACATAGACCAAGCAGTCACCAGTGTTCTTCAAAGAGAGGGCTTAGAACCAGGCGCTCTTACGTTGCTCACTGTAACGTTGAATGCTGCCAACCTGTACATCGAATTGTGGCACGACCTGCAGCTATGTCCGCTCTGCGTAGCAATACATTCCCAACTGAATATGAAATGCGGAAATCGATGGTAACCCGATGGCTTGGTTTTGGAACAGCATTTGTATCATTCACCAGTGCAAGGTATCGTTGGCGTGGTAATGGCTCTCGGTCATCTGTTCATGGAAAATATCGCTGTAGATGTTTAAGTTACTGAATGTTTTCTGCTAGTAAGCTTCACGTCGTCATTTGCCGTCCCCAGTCGTCGTAATGCGGTGAAAATTTGCCCATTTGGTTTTTCTGATTATTCAGGCGAATTGATCTATAAAAAGCCTGAATCACTGCACCCTTAGTGTTTGGTTTGCCTGCGTGCGTCTCTAGACAGAACCCTTTACGTTCCAAGGTGAACACTTGCCGCGGGCAGTAGTTCTGTCCAGCTTAAGTTTGCTTCAAATGCAAACAGTTTGTACCTAAATTCCCTAAATTCATTGCTGTGCTGTTGGGACCTTGGTAGCCTGTTACACCTGGTACACCCATTGATAATGATGTCAAAAAACTCAAAATTCATCGGATAGTTATTGCACCTTGTGCTGTAATATGTGGTCAGCGGGACATTTGGTCGTCGCCACTCCCTATCCTAATACGAACCGATCACCTGTCCTAGATACGCACGGGCTAGATTCGTTCGACCGAACTCGTGTATACTCTGGTGTTGCACAGACTTGCCGTAGTTTATGGTGTTTACTTTTTCAGTGACTTTGAATTCAAAAGTATTTTGACTTTTAAATTCACTAAAGTCGGCTCGTTCTCCAGTGTGTTGATTGTTTTGATGCACGGATGTTCTAGTGGACACTCGTTATTGGTAAACTGGACGCGAAATAACCTCTCTTCGTGGCAAGCAAAGCCTATCAGCACCTTAGGGGTATTTATTCGAAAGCATGTGAACGACCCTTTACAATGTGATTCGTGAATGGTATTACTGCTGATAGCCCCATCCTTATTTCTACTTCCTAGAAAGGATCACCATAAAGCTTAGGTTTGACCTTATCAGCCTCGTTGATTTTCGACCTTATTTGCCCGTCTCCCATTATCAGCGTTCTGAGCGTTACTTGTATCCATTGTTTATTTGACTACTGAATTGCGTTCATGTTATCCCTGGCAAGGGATACGGGTAGGGGACTCGTCTGACACGGAAACTACCTGTATATCATCAGACTCCCGAATAACTGACGCTGCAGCCGAATCTATCGATCTATGCATTTCTGCCTGGTGTTGAAATGCTTTGTATTGATTAATATAAGGTCTGCACGACGTACACAAATATGCGTTCTTCCATATACTCAAGATATACTTTTGTTCAGGCCTACGACCCACTTCCTCACCGCTCATTCAATGCTCCCCATCCTCCACCTTCTTAGGTCTATCTTTCTCCGTACTTTGTGGCTGTGGATGACATTTCCCGTTGTATTGTGATAGCCGTTCGTGGCACATTGTCTTTCGAGGACGCAATTGTCGATCTTCTTTGTGATGGGGTGCGTCTTGAAGAGATAGAGAATGTAGTGGAAGAACAGGTAGGCAAACGACCAACCTTCATTGGACACAGAGGAATGGTTGGAAGTGCGCGGAGACTTTTTCACTGTTTGTTACAGGAGAAGTCAATAGAGATAGCAAAGGCCAAACGTCCCGATTATTCATTGGTTGTATGCGGTCACAGTCTTGGAGCTGGCATCGCCTCCTTTTTGACGCTTCTTCTACGTCCAATGTATCCCGAAATAAAGGGCTACGCTCTCAGTGCACCACTTGGAATGATGAAGTAAGATCATGTTTGAATTTATGCCTGCCATTGCATTGGCTTTACGTTGTCATCCTGAAACCTATAGGAACCTTATTCGGTTCACGCTTGTGTTTGGGGTTGCTGTCTTGTCTAGACGTAATATACTACTCATAGGGATGCTGAAAATTCCCCGACAGTCCACGACGGGTTTCGTCCTTCTTGGGCATCATCAGGTAGACGCAATTCCCGAGTTTCCGTCAAACTTATGTTCTACTTGAGACTAGATTGTATGGAACTAGCGAAATCCACTCATTTGCATACGAATTTGGTTTTGACGGGAGACTTTCCTGGAACCCACCTGAATCTCTCGCTTATGATGTTTTTACGCTTAGAAACATCAAAAACGGGAGATTCAACTGGGTTCCAGTCGAGTATTGATGAAACCGCATTTGTTTACAAATGATTGGATTTCGCCACTGTCTTTTCTGTTTTTCATCTGCGTGTTACTGTTGCAACATGTGTATCGTATTCTGTACTGTGTTCTACTAATTTGTGTCATACGTCATCATATACTGTTTCTTGTCTACTTGATGTATGTCGCTATAAGTCACTTGCTTTAACACTGATCATGTTAAGCCTCTAACTTTCTCTGATCATTGTAGTAAAGCGTTTATTGGCTACATAGCTAGGAATGTGTACGTGCCTCGCATAAGTCTTATAAGTGGTGTGGGTCGTCGGGTCACTTTGCGCATACATTGCTAGTTTCCATCGTTTAGTTGTGGTTTCGTAACATCAGAACGTGGTGGCAGTTCACACCCATGAAGAGAGTTTTTAAACTCATGTTAAAGTTTCACTTTTTCTCGACCGCTCGGACATTTCACGTGTTTGTTATTATCAAGACTAGTCAGCCCACATTCTTGGCATTCTCTTGTTCCATTCAGAATCACATCTTATTGAGAACAGTGCGATCAGGGAAGATGACGATGAAATGCTGCGCCATGGAGCCAGTAGACATTTCCTTTCAGGCGAACGTCGTAACTTAATAAAGCAATTTGATCTGTTGCTGTTATGTAGCTGTATTCAATGACCGAAAGCGGCTTCTTTAGTAGTTTTGAAAGTCCAACAGGTACTTCATACTCCACAAAGACCGTCAAGTTTCTCCTTAACTGAGCATTTCGGCTGTTTCCAAAACTGGGTATATATTTTTATATTAAGGGAATTGTAATGATATTGTCGATTCGTTTATACTTGGTGGTTAAAAGGCCGTTTAGTGTACCAACACACCACTGTGCATTTTGAGGGCACTTAAGTGTGTCTCAGATAGGTGTTCCTTACCAGGGAGATGCCATATCAGCTCGTTCACCTATACTTCCGAAACCCTATTTTCCCCCGTTCCTTTCCAACAGCTCGGAGCTCGCAAACTATGCAAAACCATTTTTGATTTCCATCATTTACGGATTCGATGCGTTCGCTCGGATGAATCGTGCCACCGTACTGGACTTCAAGTGGCGCTTGATCGACGCACTTTCTGTATGTGATGTGCCAAAACATCGAATCCTTAGCCGAGGGTTTGAACTTTGCGTCAGTCGCTGTTGTCACAAGGGTTGTAGGGCTTGCTGTTGCTGTCCGATTCGTCGTCCTGTGACGGTCGGTGATGACACTCGACTTCTCAGTACAACCGTGCGAAATCGCCTTATACATCCTAACCCGGATCTACCCTTATCACCGACAGAATCACTAATCCTACAATCAGGGACGGGCGATACTACAGAAGACTCAATAGGTACGTATTTTATGCCTACGTACGGTTTTTATTGGCCCTGGCAGGAAGCCTTTACTTGTTATGTCCAAACCACCCATCAAAGTATCGACTGACTTAAGAACCTCTAATTTATGGCAACCAGATCGTCTCGGCGACATTAGTTTCAGAAAAGTGGCCGCCATGGATACGGCAGTGAAGCATCGGTGTTGAACACTGATGCCATGCTGTCGATGATGATGATGATGATGATGATGACCGCCATGGACCGAGTAGCTTAGTAACCAGTGTCACTTAACCATGGATGCGCGACGCATATCACAAACCACGAAAAAATCAGCATTCCTAATGGGAGCTTAAGCTGTAGGGAGGGCGTGGTAAAAAACTCATAATCCAGTTGATGTGGATAATACAAACAATCTGAGTTGAAAGTGAATACTCGTAGGCCCTGTGGATTAGCATCGAGTCCAAATCACAATCCCCGCGACTGCTTGTGCCAAACATTCAGGTAAGCTTTTTGTGAAAGATGATATCCTGTCAACTTACGTCTTCTCGTGAAGTATTCTGCATACTTTTCGTTGTTGCCAAGGTCATTCAGCTTTGTTTTGATCACTAGACAACCTCACTGGCTACCGACCTTGACTTTCCTAACTGTACCTTTCTGACGATCCGAATCTCAGTCCAGGTTGTTCAGGAAAGTGTAGTATTGCACTGATGATCCTGATACATGATGTTTGATGTCAGGAAATTTGACAAGTTTTGTTGTTTTACGATTTTCGGTCCGTCCGATAACCAGCAACCGGCATCTCTGTGTCTACCTTCATTTTGCACACAGTACTACGTGCGACTCAGCGCTAAATACTGTGTTCATTGAGAAAGCGGAGTGGCGCGCTTTTTCAGCCACTATCGGACCAGCTACTATTCCCCACTTCATTGCCTCCTGCTAAACGAACAAAGCTGGCAAACAGAATGAGCGGATGGTTTCTACATGAAATCATGCAACCTTGCTCTAATTCCATTTGCTTCGCCAGCTGATAGTGTCCCTGATGCACAAGGCTATCAGTCAATTGCTTCCTGGTTTGTTTGTCCGACTAACAACCCATTTTTGGAGGCATATATATATATATATATGAGCTCGAAACCACTTTCTTACGAATCATGCATTTATCTACACCAGTAACCCAGATGCTATTGCTTTTCATGATAATCCCACCCAAGGGGTTGATTTTCCCAATTTAGGTTTTCTAGCACGTAGTGTGAATGAATTATGGGACTTCTTTTCTCCACAAGTGCTCTTGAGTGTTTGGAAGAGTACAAAACCAGGGCTACACAACAGTACTTCACCCACAGCCTCCGACTTTCCTAGTGCGGCTGGGTGTGGGAACTATGCGTATCGACCTGGCCCGGTAACTCCGCGCGATGATGATGATGATGATGATGATGATGATGATGACCGCCATGGACCGAGTAGCTTAGTAACCAGTGTCACTTAACCATGGATGCGCGACGCATATCACAAACCACGAAAAAATCAGCATTCCTAATGGGAGCTTAAGCTGTAGGGAGGGCGTGGTAAAAAACTCATAATCCAGTTGATGTGGATAATACAAACAATCTGAGTTGAAAGTGAATACTCGTAGGCCCTGTGGATTAGCATCGAGTCCAAATCACAATCCCCGCGACTGCTTGTGCCAAACATTCAGGTAAGCTTTTTGTGAAAGATGATATCCTGTCAACTTACGTCTTCTCGTGAAGTATTCTGCATACTTTTCGTTGTTGCCAAGGTCATTCAGCTTTGTTTTGATCACTAGACAACCTCACTGGCTACCGACCTTGACTTTCCTAACTGTACCTTTCTGACGATCCGAATCTCAGTCCAGGTTGTTCAGGAAAGTGTAGTATTGCACTGATGATCCTGATACATGATGTTTGATGTCAGGAAATTTGACAAGTTTTGTTGTTTTACGATTTTCGGTCCGTCCGATAACCAGCAACCGGCATCTCTGTGTCTACCTTCATTTTGCACACAGTACTACGTGCGACTCAGCGCTAAATACTGTGTTCATTGAGAAAGCGGAGTGGCGCGCTTTTTCAGCCACTATCGGACCAGCTACTATTCCCCACTTCATTGCCTCCTGCTAAACGAACAAAGCTGGCAAACAGAATGAGCGGATGGTTTCTACATGAAATCATGCAACCTTGCTCTAATTCCATTTGCTTCGCCAGCTGATAGTGTCCCTGATGCACAAGGCTATCAGTCAATTGCTTCCTGGTTTGTTTGTCCGACTAACAACCCATTTTTGGAGGCATATATATATATATGAGCGAGCTCGAAACCACTTTCTTACGAATCATGCATTTATCTACACCAGTAACCCAGATGCTATTGCTTTTCATGATAATCCCACCCAAGGGGTTGATTTTCCCAATTTAGGTTTTCTAGCACGTAGTGTGAATGAATTATGGGACTTCTTTTCTCCACAAGTGCTCTTGAGTGTTTGGAAGAGTACAAAACCAGGGCTACACAACAGTACTTCACCCACAGCCTCCGACTTTCCTAGTGCGGCTGGGTGTGGGAACTATGCGTATCGACCTGGCCCGGTAACTCCGCGCTTCTCTCCCAATATTCCAAAGAGCAAAGCCGGTGTCTGACTTTTTTCCAGGTTGTCGACTAAGTCTCGATTTCGACACAGCAGTAAACGGCCTACGAAATTAGCGACGTGAGACCAAATGTCTCATCATTTTCGTAGCAAGTTGGAACATTGGGCGCTTACCAGGGATATTGGACATCTTCAGTATTTGGTTTGTTGGATCGCGTTCTCCTGCTCTGGTGTTGGCTGCTTGAAGGATCCGAGGGATCCCACTTCTTCAGTCCGGGTACCCATAAGTCATCTTGTCTAGGTCTCTGTCACACTTATTACGCAATGCTAATTATCAGCTGAAGAGATACCAGATGCTATCAAGTAGTGGTTTTTCTTCGCCAACTTCTTTGTTGTGTACTCCTTCTATACTTGGCTTACTGTCCCTATCTTACGAATTCATAACCACTCCGTTTCACATACTATATTTGTTTATTTCAATTAGCCAGTGGAGTTTCAATGCACTGAATGATACTGAAAATTTGACTTTAATCCCCCGAACTTTGTTAGAATTTTTTGTGCTTAATACATGAACGTTGGTGTGAGTTCATTTGAAAGCCACACCGGCACATGCAAAATAAACCCTGAACATCGAGGGGGCTGATGTCGGAATCCGCTATTCTCGTTTGGTTCTCGTCTAACAGCCAGCTTTACTCCGATTGACTGATTTAAAGTCTAAAGATCAAGGAGAAATGGTTTTCTTTCTGTGGCGGCTTCACCTGCTCAAACAGCGTGTAGTGGTGGTGCAGCAAGGTTGAATCCTGTGGACTATTGCAGCATTCCGTAGGCACATACAGCAAGCTCGGCACAGAACCTGAGCCGGCGCACATGCTGACTTCTAATCCAACCCCCTCCTTTGTTGCGATTTCTTGCTACGCGACAAATAGACCTAATACCCCCCATATACATTATATATATATATATACACTTTCTTTTCGCACATGCGTTCGATGTATGTTGCATGGAAATGCCGGAAGGCGAATTCCCAGGCGTAAAAACATTCTAAACGTATTTCCTGACGTGAAAAATTGATGAAGGCTGGTCACCACCCTTATTCAGTTTTCAGTCAGCTGGAATGAATCTGGAATGCAGAACAAAACAGAACGAAATTCAAAGATTCCTTGGGTGCTCATATAAACAGGTTCCAAACTGTTGTGAATTTCTTTTACAATATTTGAATACGTTTAATCAACATTTGTACGAATGTTCATAGTGACCGCGCTCAGAATGTCTACAAAACTCGAACTGCATAAAAAACAAGTTTTGCGAAATTTGGTGACTAGTAATTCGATTTAATTCACAATTCGTTCACAGTGAAGTCCCGCAGGTTTGCTGCAGATTACCAAGGTCGGTTTCTTAAACTATCAGAGGATCCCACAACAGAGCAAAACAAAGCTACCAGATTCCGGTTTTGTGACTCCTTCATGGTTTCACTCGTTAGGTCCGGTTCCAGATTAGTGATTCCATTCCACAGGAGGAGGTAGAAAGCCACAAACCACCTTTCAGACGTTTTACTCTGGTCGGAATTCACCTGCGGTACCTATCCCGCAAATCTATCCGATCATTTAAAGCCACGACCCTCCGGTTTATAGTTGGCCACGGTAGCATCGTACCGCAACCGGTTGATTAACTTGCAATTGACAATGATTGGTAACACCACACTTCGTTCGATAAGTTCATGTCGCGTGATTTCACGTTGACTGGCTCCGCGAGCGACGACTTCTACTGAAACTTGTTGAATCTGTCAATTTCTGACGAGACCCAGACTTCATTTTAATGGTGGAATCTCGGTTGCATCTTCAAAACCTCAGTACTTACAAATGACCCTTGTTGTGCGGCATTTACCAGTGTTTACCGCACCGCTAGTTCCTTGCCAACTGCTTGATTGTAAGAAACACCACTCCAGGTGACTGTTTTTAGCTTCTTCGAACTATGATGCTATCTTCCCGAACTGTTACACAAGTGGCTAGAAACATTAGAAGACACGCTCAGTGAGGCTAATGTGTGGGATCCATCGTCTTCATTTTGTAACGATCCGGATGGCTCACCAAGAAACTGTTGGATCTCGTCGGGGTGACTTCGTTGCATCTTACCAATAGTATTTCCTCCATTGTGTAATTATCTCCAAGATCTCGAGGTGGCTGAGCGATAAAGGCGCGAAACAACTAACCGGAATGTGCATCACTCGAACCCAGACCTGTCTGGGCTCGAAAAACCTGGCAGTAAGTCAGCCTTCATGCCTCATTTACGTTGCACGGCAGCTATATATCAAATGGGTGCCACAGCTGGGTGTTTGGTACTACTACTAATATTAATAATAATAATAATCTCTGCTGGCCCTACTTATCTTGCAGATAGCTTACAGCTGATGGGCTGCACGGCTGTGATGGTTTTTCACTCGGAAATGTTCCAACTAACTGCGAATATCAGTTATTCAAAGGGACCATCAATTCGGTTTAAGTTCATTCAGTGTTGATTTGAAGTATGCCTGGTTCAAAAGTATGGGTTGGGTCGTTTTGCTGCCTTTCGTAGGTTTTCAGAGGTCTCTGTGACCTGCTGCTTGTGTCCTAAGTAGGATTTGCATGTTCACTTTTTAATTTTTGCGGTGGTAAGGTCGCTTGCGAGTAGCGTGGGGATAATCCTTCAAAATATACAAACAACGTGCGACTAGTCTGGTGCCGGTATAGGCTCGTCAAAGGTTCAAACTGCGGTTTTTACCTCTACATTTTATAATCCGAGGCATTCGTGTGGAGTCTCATATAAGTCTGGGGATAATTTGTACTTGACTACGTAACCAGTTCATTTCCTTGGGTGTCTTCCGAATTCCCCGCCAGATAGGGCCCGATGGCCGAGTCGTTTACGAACGGGCAACCGGTCTCTTCTACGTTGGATGGATCCAGAAATCACTCGGCTGTTTTGTACGAGTACTTCAGTCAGCGACTATGAGCAAACCATGGTTGATTCCAACAGTGATCGTCCTGTGCAATCGAACTCACAGCCACAACAACCATCCAACAAGGTGCCTCAGTCGTATGATCTACGGGATGGCGTGTGCGGTGGCCTGGTCTTACACGTGGTTGATGTGGCGATTGAGAACTGTCCCACTCATTCCGTTGACTCCGGATCCGATCATTTCGTGCACTCACCGATATATGGGACGGAACGACAGGTGCTGTCACCTAGGATGGTGAACGAGGATGAATGGTAGGACTAATAGGCTTTTCTTGCTTAATTTCTTGTTTATATTTTAGTGTCTTCCACATCAAGCTCGTTTTAGTTGCAGCTAAGCCTTTCCTCATCCATAGGCTATCTTAGACGGTTTCAGTATCCTTTCCCGTGATTTCCGGTCATGATATCAGTATCCCTCGTCCGTCACACAAATTGAGTAACGAGTTGGGCATACGTACATGATGCCCGCAATAGGTGTTACAATATCACCACTGCCCGTGCTTTTGTGTGCGAATTGAAATAGTCCGATTTACTCGTTGAGTTAGTACAATTGATTCAGGGCGATACTTGTATCTCTCACAGTGAGTTTGTATTATTCCAGCTGGAGCCGCAGCGTGCCACAATTTTTACGTTGGTTGCACGCTCGTATATCGCATAATTCTAGCGGTGCTCGGTGTCACATACCTTCTCCATATAATCGAGCCTCTTGCTTTGCAGACCTTACAATGATTCGACGCACTAGTTACAACAGTGGGAATTGAATGGTAGAATTCAGGAGAATACCACGTTTGTTTTATTGAGCAGGAAGTAAATCTTGAGAAATCAGGTCTGCTTGCAAACCAATCAAGCGAAAGGCACTTGGAGGGAACTAAAAAAAAGACATTACATTTATGGCCTTTCGTTTGTGCATAGTTAGCTTGTTCGTTGAATTAGGCGATTTCTTTATCTCAGCGAACGAACCAACGACCATCATTACAAGCTGAGCTACAAATATTCTCTTCAATTGTCGTAATGCAGTTGTTTGTCGCCCATAACTGCAGCATCGTGCGGCACATTAGTAGAAGCCTCTGAAAGGGATTTTAGTTATTTGTAGATCAAATAAAGACAGTGACGCAGTATTGTAAGATTTGCCCGACAACATGTTTTTCTACCTAAAATACATTCTGTGGAATAATATGAAGAGACTCATACTTGTTTTCCTTAGCAAAGAGACTGAAGCTTATTGTCGTGCGACGGTTCGCTTACCCCAGTAGCCTAATGAGCTACAATGAAGGATGCTCATTGAGCGTTCACGGAGTCTATCCTATTAGGTTGGACTCCTGGCCCTCGAGTCTGCTGGTTGAAACAAACGTGGAAACTTGTTCCCTGAAATTTGAGCTACTCGGTTGGCCTCACACCGGCCGCTGCCACCTTGTAGTGGTAGGCCTTTGGGCCGAAAGTGTTGACTGAGGACCCTAATTTCCCTCCTATCTGGGTTTGGACGACATGAAAATGTCTCAGTCCACGCACAACCATGAACGACTTAATCGTAAACGGCTGATACCATATCAACCGTCGCATGTTGAAATTAGCCGGGTCCCCCTATTCGCTTCAAACAACGAGACAGATAAACGAAAACATGCGGCTGCTGACACCCCTCATCTTTTACCATTTTCATCTTTTTATTGTCTCAGTTGACAATGACTTATGTAGGTCTCAACCGTAGGGACGTTAGTCAGGTGCCCATAGAGCTGATACGCTGCGCACCATCATTCGCTCCCCGACCTCCATTTAGGTTCCATTCTATCGTTTTTACTGCAGCCTTTAACGTGAGAAGACTTAATTAGATAAGCCAACAATCGACTCTCGTGCGTACTCTAGATATTCTATTGATTGACATCTGCTGCATATCCGAGACTCAAATACAGGATCCAGGTACGGCTGCTGAGCTTACGGTATCCGCTGTGTCTAGACGGTAGTGGTTACGGACTTCGAGTGGTCCTGTGGCTACTTCAGCGGTTCGTGAAGTTGTAAAAATAACCTTAACTTCTGGAACTGAAGTTTGGTCGCTCGACTGGATGCATTTATACAACCTACTCTGTACTGACCAGTTTTCTTCTTTGATAAATCCTCCCCCCTCCGGTAAAATTACCGAACGCCTTTGTTTATCGTATCTAGTTATGTGTCAACGAACCGTAGTTCCAAGCCGTTGGAAGCCATCTATCTAGAACTGTCGCCACCTTGTCCACCAGAAAAAGCTCGTAATTGCGGTATATTTCAGTGCAAAGCTCTTCAGAAGCACGCCTTAATTACATGCTTGGCCTAAGTGCAGAACGTAATGATAATGGTACGGATCACCAGTTGGTTATCAGAAAATTTCAAGAAATGGAAGAGACCAGTGCAAGTAGGAACGAACTGGAAGTGTTTTGGCTAAACCGCAAAACACGACCTTGAGGCTTTCGATGAGTGAGCTCCTCAAAGGTTATATTGGGAAGTTAATGTATGTTAAGGGCCTATCTCTGGCATGTGAGACGCCAGTTCGAGAGCGTCAAACCGGACTCCGACCCGAATTAGTCATTGGGGACATTGTAGTACAGACAGGCGTGCTTGGTCTGTATCCTCCAACTGGTCCGTTGAAATATGCTATTGTTTTTTCTATTGAGTTGCCTCAAATAAAGTGTTTGATTTTCATAACAGAAAGAGCTTATCACGATGTTCGGATCTTCAGTTCATCCTGTTCTTACAAATGTGCATATTCATCAAACTTTGTTCTAACTTGCTTTCACCGCCATCAGTTGCTGCTCTTCGAAATTGAAATGTGAAGCGACGGTTGGTGTTTGGACCAACTGCGCGCAATTCCTCACATTCCTCATTCATCCGAGGATGTTTGTGGACCATATGCCAAACAACTTTGTCAAAGCAGTCAATCGTTTGTATACGACAGCCGTAGGAGATCCGGTACTCGGTCATCCTAATTTGAAGCCCGCTGATGTCTTCCGTGAATTTCGCTGACATGCAACTGCGATGAACCGTGTTAGCTCGATTGCCGTTTTTCTTAGTTTATATTCGGCCGTTTTGGATATTTTAGCGAGACAAAGTTGGTCTACGGATATTTTTACAGTTCAATTTTTTTTATGCCCATTCAACATTTTACACTGAAACATTCCACTAGCGTCTCAAATTGAATACCCGTCCCGCAGTATTCTTCTGTGATGTTTCTCACAATCGTTATGTTATACTCCCAAACCCAACATATCAGTGAGTTTTAACTGTGTAATTTATTCACTGCATGATACAAAATCCCCCTGATCAGACTTATTAGTGAATCTGTGTAACTTCAAGGTTGATATGCCTTCGATCTCAGCCGATTTAGTATCCGGGTAAACCAGCTAATTGCGACATTTTGGTGAATAAGCCAGCACTCGTGGTCAATTTTTGTCCCGTAGCTACTTACAAGAATACGTTCCGCAAACATTAATGATATGGAAATCCGTCAGACTTCAAATCAGACACGACGTTTAAACCACTTCATTGTGGTTGACCATATTCATTGGAGGAACGTCCGGTCCTTTCCTGGAAGCCTCTTCTTATCATCGTCATCGTCTTAGCATTCATGCCCCCCTTGGGAGGTCATTGACTGCTGCTGTCGCAGAGTAGCATACTAGCGAACGAAAAATACTGGTTGGAGGAGAGAATGAATAACAGCCAGAATAAAGGGGAAGTCAGCTGGTGTTAGGGCAGGCCGATGAACTCGTTGATGTAGGTTCATCAATGATGAAGATGAGCTTCTGTTTCGGTGAGTGGTCCATCCATTGTTGATCATTATCGTGTAACCTCCAGTCGGGTCGGTGACACTGTGCTACGGTGAGCTGTCGTTGAATTTTTGTTCGCAAGTGACGGTCAATAAAGGGCTCGCTCCTTGTGCAGTTAATTGCCACAAAAAAGTGTGGTTCTCAATAATTGCGCTTTCGGATATGTGCCAGCTTAATGTTCATACATCATATCAACAGATCTAAAAGAAGCCGGCTAATGCCTTATCACCCCACAAATGATCCCGTATCACAAAGCAAGGTCCACTAAAGAAACCACTTGAGTTTATGTAGGTAGCGAAATCCATCGGTACGGTTAATGCATGGAGTAGCAGTGGTGTCCCACTGTCCACCTGCATGTGTGCGCTTCCAATTGTCAGATCTGGTGCTCATTTTACCAAACCTCCAAACATGTAACATATTCCCGCAAAATTTCATAGATAGATAAACACAGTTTCAACCTAGTGAGGCCTTTTAGTTCACTTTTCAAATAATGGGTTAAATCCTGCGCCAAAACTGCTTCACCGCTCGCAGTTAGACGATACTATGGCCAAAGAGCTTGGGGCGCGCGCGATTGGCTGAAAGTGTGCACCCAACACTCGGTCATGATCCAGTATTTGCCGAATGCCGGTTACCAATGGCGCGCCGAAGCGTGCGAACTTCTAGAATGTTTGGCCTTTACACTTTAAATATGACTCATGATCTTCGGTGTTTGACATACTTGGTGCTTTCTTTGCCGAAATCGCCAGATTTGGTGAATCAGACCGAAAACTCAGCTGAGGCATTACTGTTATTACATCAACCTAAACACCGAGAAAAAATGTGGAACCGCTTTTTATATATAGAATTCGTAGGTTTGATTCCATATTGATGCTCTAAGCAGCGACACGGACTTTGGTCTCATACATGCTTATGTCCGTTTATTCATACATACATATGTGCATTCGGAAGGGGACGGACATCCCTGATGGAACGTGGTAGGTCCACTGTCTGAGCGTAACCACTTGAAGCCATTGTCTAATCAGCGCTTGCCCGATGTTATCATCCTGAAAACAGTAACCGAATAATTAATGGTATGTCGATATGTTGACATAGTCAATAAGCTGTCCGTGTCCACTTCTCGAAAGAAAAGTTTTCAACATACTGTCAGCTTGCCTCCTTCAAACGCCGCGATTTCGAGACCGTGGTGATTGAACATACCAGTAAGCGCTGTACACTGTTCAAGCTTATTAGTATTCTCACTACCAGTGAAACTCGCTGCGGAGTTACTTACCCAGAAAATGCCAATTAACCGGTTACAGACCATTGAACAGGGCAGCAAAACTCTAATCTGCATCTTAGTTACAAAAACTGGACAGAGGTCTTCTCCCGAACGAGTCTTCCTTGAGATTCATTGCCACCACTCATTCGTCGGTCAAATCCAAGCAAACGTTACAAAGTGGCCCCACGAATTCCGCAACAGAATTCTCCTTTTCAATCGACGCAAAGCGAAACTCTACGAACAACACATACTACTCGCGTGCCTCCCTAATCAGTAGTATCACCGTTACACCAGTAAGGCTCTAGTATTCCAGATTCGAAACTTGAATTGTCAAGAGACGCTCCCCTGTATATAAGGTGACTTCGCCTCTGATTTTCGCTTCGCAAGTTGAATCGATTCAGGACGTCCGGAGTGTGAATTTAAGTTTGTTTCCAATAGCTTCGCCCCCAACTTCTTGATGTAATCGGCAAATCAGCAGATGATAGGGCCTTCTTTGAAGGTCCGTGAGTCTGGAGCAGCTTGAGGATGCCAAGATTAGGGCGTGACTAGCTAACCCCTAAAGGTACTACGACGGACACATACTGGGTTACACTGATCTCTTGTCTTTAAGAGGCATTTCGATCCTTGCCGTGCCGTATAAAGTCAACTCATACAATCAAGGTATGTGAAACGTTTGTCAACGTGCGTTATCTCTGACATCAAAAGCTAATTTGGATGAGGTTGAATCTACTGTGAGAACCGCCTCACTTAATGGCTATAGAGCTTACAATCTGAACATTTAGGCATCAGATGTTAAGTGTCCGCTTGTTCTGTATTTTGAAAAGCAGCGTTATTGTATCACCGTGAAAATTGCAACCTACTTTGTTTTAATCCAAGATCAACTGCCTACGCGAATAATAGGTATAGCCAAAATTAAAAATACTTACCCAAAAACAGCGGATCAAAGTTACACTCCCATAAACTCAATTCTCACTCACTCACGGCAGAGTAGTCATGTAGAATATCGTTGTTTCGTCGGTTTGTAAGATGGTTTCTAAGCTTATCTGAACTTTGACTAACCTCTGTAACGACATGCCACTAGTGAACTTACACCTGGCATGCGATTGACCCGCACTTTTTTACGCTAATTTCATCGTTCCCCCACTTTTTGACTCCAAGCTCGGAAACAACATTTGAACCACTCAAGATCATTTTTCAGCTTTAGTCTTGACCTGTAACTCTGGCTGTACGGCAGTAAATCGTCACTATTGAACACTGAACACTGCCGATGGCTTAAACGTGATAATTCAACTGATAATCGCATTTGACGACCATCAATATGACTATCTCGATTTACTGAATTACGGTTGTCTTACCTACCATCCTACAGACTGTTTCTGGTCTTGTGTGACCGTTCGACCAGTCGTTGCGATGAGGAAACACACATAGACCTCATTCACTGTCTGAAAGTTTAATCGTGAGTGGTCAACGTTAAATTGCTCGACCAATCCTTCTCAATGCGACTGTATCGGTCATCCGTAGAGGTCTAACCATCTAGAAAACCGGACACTGGCTCCACATCCATTAACCTGGTTTCAGTTATAATAGCTGCTTTTTACAGCAGTTGATTGGTACGAGCAACCCGATTACTCGTAGATAGCCAGATAAGGCTCATGATAATTACCGAGACATTGGTTCGATTATAGTAAAGATATGTCCATAGAAAGCCCGCAAGATCCTTCGCCATTATTGCAAGTCATCCAAACTGGTGTCACTCATTGAAAGCCCCAGCCAAGCTTTTGATGTGTTTTATATGTCATCACCGGCCTAGGCACTTCCAGCAGGGATGAGATATTTCGTGCACTTGGGATTTCAAAGAGTTAGCAACCACTCATTATGAAGGACTGATAAAATCTCGGGTCTGTCGTTTGAGATTATCAAGTCTTTTGTGATGATCGGTGAGGATCCAGATAAAACTACCTACCTTAAATCAGTAGCCGGCAGATAATTGGAGCAGCATGGTCACCTTATTCGAACTCCCAAGTGTGCATCATGATCGACGAAAGTCAGCAGATCAAAATTAAATTTAACCTTCCAGTTGTTCCCTCTTTTAGTGCATAGTTGTCGTGCAGTCCGAAGGTAGCACAAGGGCTTACGTACTACCAGGTTACCAATCCCCAGAGGGAATCAACTGGGAAGACAAAATTGGATTCGAACAACGGACCAGGCAATCGGTAGCTTTCGCCTTAAGCATTGAGCTCTCTTGACCGGATCGTTTAGTAAACAGCTAACCTTTGGCTTCAGTGTCTAATTTAAGATGGTTTCTAATATTCGTCACTGATTATCGTTCTTTCAAACCTAAATTGATTGAATATTTGAACTCGTTAAGAAATGACACCAGCAATGATAGAACATGAATATAGCCTAACTCCATTATTTTTTAAATTAATGAAACAACAGGTAGTAAATTATGAATGATAAGTCAGAAAAGTCATCTACCATTTTGCTTACAAAGTAAGCCTTCCGCATAGGTACCTTCCAGGGACCTCAATGCCAAATTTACTCGTGAAACACCGCAATTTTCTTCTCGTTATCCTATAATTAGTCTCATTTCGATCGTTATTTACTCAACCATTTTTCTTTGACCTGACTGATGGTCCTCCTCAGATTTAGCATCACACTAACGGAATCACCTACGCACGATAGGTGAACCCCAATTACCAAGTCTAACGAGATAGTGTTACGAACGTTTGAAGCGCGATGGGTACCTTTGTAAAATTCCCTGTGATATAGATTACCCATGAATTAATAGGGTAAGATGTCGCTAGCTTGCAACAGCGATACACCACGCGCTTCTTCCTGGTCATGCACCATCCGCCAGATGTAGAAAGACTGACCAGACACCTCTTTCTTTAACCTTTCACGGTGAACGACTGAAGTTATTCACGAACAACCATTGTTGTGACCCTTATCCCAGGAACCGGCAACTACCAACATGACCGGTTTGACCAAGCAGAGCTTTATATCTCGTTACAGAGCGATCACGCTCAGGTCGTTTCCACTCAGCGCAGTACTGGGCGAAAATAACTATACAAGGCACAGGATCTTATGAAAAACAAAGCCCAAGGCTTTACCAGCCTAACCTAGCTGATCTTTCATGGATAAGCCGCTTTCTCTAAATGTCATCCGACACAGCGCAATGCTGATCTGATGTTACTAACAGACCCGAGCAATCCAAAACGCCGACGGCCTTGTTGCGTAATCTATTGGTATCGATCGATAAAGCAGGCTTAGTCGTACAGCGACATCGTGAAATCTACCAAAGAAACGCACATCCGTGTTACGATAGAATCATAGATGTTGAGGGTTAACGAAACCGCACAGTTCTTTTTCGTTCTGGAAGGGAATCCGTCTTCCACCAGTCCGTACCGTTCCGTTCAACTGCAAGCACGATACTGGTGTTTGATCCAACTCAAGTTTGCAATAAAACTTTATAGTTTGCACACGCAAAGTGCAAGCCTAATGGCACCAGATTGCTGTTATTTGCATTGCAATTCCCAGAGGTTTGACTCAAGATCAAAATACTCAGGTAGCTCCAAGTGCCCCGGGAAGGCTTCAAACCCATGTTAGAGATCTGGATTCCTGAAATTCTGTAAAAGCAGCCATTTGGTCATTTTGTTTATGGCTATATTGTGGCAAACCCGGAACTTAATCGGGATTGTGATGATTCCCTAACACACTTTCATGTTAGTAGCTGAAATGTGAATTTAAAAAGGAGATAAAAAATGATGTGTAAACATACATAACACCCTTCCTTTAAAATGCTACAGACTAGTTTTGTACTTTCTTGAAGAAATAAGGCCGACCTTACCTGCAGTCTCAGTCAGCTTAAATGCTAACACACTAAACGACGCTGGACATTTTTTTGGACTTGAAATGATTGTTTTGATCTGTGGTCTGCACAGAGCTTTTAATGAATCTCATACCACATGTATTCAGAAACAGCATCGAAAAATCACTGGACTAGGAAACTCCATAAACTTACACCAGACAGCCACAACAACAACAACATATAGTGATTCAGATTAGGCAGAAGGTGCACTAATTATGGTTGGTTTTATATCTAAACGTTAGAACACCCAATATTATCCCTAGTTATTATTGACTGACACACAGGATGAGATATTTAAATTAGGTAGTGTGACGATTCAGATCTTTTACCTCATCAAGAACAGACCTGCTAGATCATGTGGATGTATAATTCTAGTCAGTCTACAATCGTGAATCCAATATCCCACGCACGAACTCAAATAACGGTGATCCTTGAACACGGTCAATGGAAAAATTACTGTTGAATGGGATAGTCATGATATTTTTCGCTACGCCAGTTCAACACTAATATTTTAGTAAATTTTCGGTTTTCGCTGGTTTTACCTGCTCACTATTACTACAAGCTACCAGTGGCTTCTTAATTATGACTTTCACAAAACGAACTAAGCTTACAAACCCCATCAATCTTGAGTTAAACAACACGGACACCCGTTGCAAACACACTTTTGACGGGTGTAGCGTCTCAATGACACAGCCATCTGAAGATGTGTATTCTAAACTAATGCCCCCGCAGATGCATACTAAAGCCCGGTGAAACTCTGGGATATCAACGAAAACAACCAGAAGAACAATGGAAAAGACGAAAAGAAGCCGGCTTTATATCGATCGCTTCAATGCACTGTAGTTCCGTGGTTCGGAAATCTGAATACATTCACAGTGAGATACGCTTCCAGACTTGGAAAACGTTTGAGAAAGATTGAATGCCGTAAGAGATGATTTAACGGAACATACCGTATTAGACACTTCTTTAATAAATGTTCGACGTCATTTCAGTTACGTTCGCGGGAAATAGAGAAAACCGAACCCGTCTCTCAATGCAAGCAATTTTCTGACATTTTCGCTTCTGAGAGGATGTCTGGAGGTCAGCGGCCTCTAATAACCGAATGGCACGTCAAGACGGATGTGTCACGTGCGGGACAGGGACCAAATGAAGACATACCCTAGTCAGTCAGAACGTCAGCCAATCCGTATCGTGGATCTTTAGCTCGATGCTTCTCGCCCCATTACGGGGATCCTTGTACGACCTTGTGGAACACTCTGTGGTTACTCTATAGATACAGTTGTATTAATCATCCTTCGTCTCCATAATGTGCTGTTTGAAGCCTACCATGCTTTTTGATACAACATAGTGGGTGGATTAGGAAGTCCAGGACAGACCGCTCAGCAGATCACAACAGAGGGTAATGTATAAAGATACGAAACTTGGAACTGTTGAATATTACGAATTGTTAAATATGACGCACGAGACAGGTAACCCATTGGTAGCCTTCGTAGCTATCAGTTGTGGACCGACTCTTTTTGTGATGTAAAAATTTAAAACCGCCAGACGAGAGAGTGAGGATACGTGAAATTATTAATCTAACTATATAGATAGTTGCGTTCCGTCCTGAGATGTGAAGATAATACGCCGCAATAGTAATAAATTTTAATGCATACAGATAAAATTCAATAAGATGACACATTAGTTGCACGGAAATCTCACCGATAAACAGTACAGCTGTGTTTAAAAAAGATGGATCTCCGATCTACCGGCGAGGCGTTTCCAATAACAGGTTATACACAGATATGGGACCCTAGTTAGACCAGATTGGTTACTCTGGCAAAAGCATGGAGAAACAATATGTGAATAGGCACCATAGTGTTCATGGAACTTCCTTCGAAGTGGTGCACAATGAGAGCTCTGGCTTTAACAGAAATTAAACTTGATCTTGACCAGATAGCGTAGACGCACCTGATTTGGATCGTAAACAACGTACTCGTTAAATTGAAGAGCCAAATTGTCGGAATTCGCTTCAGGTGATGGCACCAATTTGCCGATGGGAACGGTCACGTCATCATCACTTGAGAAACAAAGTGGATAATATTAAATAGGCGGACAACTGATGTATTTAAGGCGCTAAGTCATCATAGATGAAAAAAGAACAATTAGTATACATTAGTTCCTCCCTGGAGTGAATCCGTCCAAGAAAAGAATGGATCGATTGCGTGCAATCTGCATGGGACGTTCGACGTTCTCGGATCCCAACGATGAGATGCACGCTAAGCGCTTCAGTTCCACTTTATGTGTGTTTGGAGGAGATCGGTCTCGTGAATCCCACACTTTTATCCCCCCCTTCCACATCAGAGTAGACAATCAAGTTGTCTGCTTCGTGCTCAATGCTGAGACGTTCGGATGGGTTCATGCATGGCTTACAGCAATCCATTGGATGTTCAATCCACCATAACAGGGACCATGGTTCGAACCCGACCTCTGACTCTCGACTTCCTGTCTAGGGTTGGGCAACCTGGCATTATCCCAGCCCTCGTGCTTTCCGTCCCATGGCAGCTAGGCAACTAGAGGGTGTTACAGCTGAACGAACGCAAACACAAAATGTTTCCTTTTGAAATGTAGGACCTGTGTCGAATAACTCAGGAAGCATGTTAGCTTGAGAGGGATATTTCGGGAGTCCAATGGAAAACGAATTTCACCATCCCATTTCACCTGCTGAGCTTCACTGAATTATCATCGTTGCGCAGCATCCACCCATTTTTGGGACGCTCATATTGTTTCCTTCAATCTATTTCTATAAACCCCGCAGGCATGTGTGACGCCGGGTGGCGTCCCCCGTAGCTCGGTGCGTTGGGCAACAGTCCGCAGGGCGGGAGTTCCGTAGCTCGGGTCTACCCGGTATACTATCTATACTACGACGTCAAATATCAAGACTACCTCAATCAGTTGCGGTTTTCATTCCTAGTCGTCATAAAGTCAAAAGCTGAGAATCAAATTCAACCAGTGCCGTAAACCGCACACATCATAATTGCGCCTCTGACACTAATCAAGTGTTCAGAATGAGACAACTTCAGTTAGTTCGCCCGTGTAAAAGCGTTAATCTCATTTAACACTGTGAAATGAAGGTAATTCTGGACCAGCGGATTAGGAAAGACCTCAGCTTGCGAAAGATGGTTACCAACCACCAGCTGAAACCTTGTGAGAACGTTTTAGGAATTTGCACAAGATATTTTCGCAGGACATCAACAAGGCTCCATGGAAATCCGAAAGCGTCCGACAGAAAAATATGAAGACAAGTGAAAGTAAAGCTTCGCTAGGAGGCACATAAAATATGAAAGCGTTATGTACCACTTTCATGAGTGGATTAAATCAATATAGGGTCACTTTCATTACGAAACAAAGGCAAGTTGGAGAATGCTATTGAACTACTGTGAAGGTTACTGGGATACCTATACATGAAAAGACGTTCGAAGTTAAAAAGATTTGTCACACCTCTCAGTGAGTATATATCGAACGATTCAAACTATGTTCAGTAAAACAACGTATGCATGACAGCGCTTTCACGTTAAGGTTCAACGATCAATCATGGAAGGTGATTCCGATTAGGCGCAGCGAATAAATTTTGCGCAAAAACTTTCTGACGTAAGTTGGCGCACCGAACAATCTAGTGGGCCAATTCATCACTACGCAGTTACAATCAATCACCTCGAAATACACATGGCACCGGTTCTGTTCGAAGGAATCAGAAACAAACACAATCTTAGTCGAAACTTACAGCTTACTCCATGTGGACTCTTCTGGTGTCACCCGACCAACACCCTTCACGCTATGCGTGCCTTCAGGGAGTTGATTTGCAGTGTGACAGGCTTGGTAGAGTTCGTTAACCTTGCCTAGGGAAACCTACAAAACGTAAATGAGGAAGAGATGGTGGTAAATATAATAATAATAATAATAATAATAATAATAATCGCCCACGTGCAAAAATCTTTCGGCGCCATGCTACTCAAAGGAATCACGATGGTTGGGATACTGTCAGGTCGCTCAAGGCTAGACAAGGGAAGTCAAGATGCAGGGGTTACGTTCGAACCAGGGGGCCTTCTGGTTAACCGCTGAGCCATTCCGAGCTAAAGAAGAGTTTGTTTTATCAGGTATTCTTCTCCAAGGAAAAAAAACAAAACCCTTGTCCAATAGAGAATCAAGTGGTCAAAATTTTGAATAAGAGTGACATGAATCAAGCTCGGGATAAATTTTACATGGAAAATCTTGCGGACTCCGTATTGGAACAGAGCACGTGAGATACGCAACGGCAGGCATGGGTGGTTCAGAGCAAAAACAAAAACAAAGCTAAAGTGGTGGTCCTAGTGACATCTTGGCACTGGACTAATAGACAATCACGATTTGATGAGATAAGAGCAACAGATGGTGTCTCAGGGGACGGACGTGTGGTGAACACGTTCAGAAGCATACCGAACTTCACAAAACAACAGAGTTTCGTGGTTGCACATATAAGTGGGCATTTTAGTGTCACTCAAGGGACAGGTTAGATGTAAACAGTGAGGCAAGAACCACACCGGGTATGTGAAACTCTGGTAATCACTATGCAATAGACAATTGTTTGTTTAACAGTTGCTAAGACAATTGAATCGCGTTCCAAAAACGACGGTGAACAAGCACTAACACTTGTATATATAAATATATCCCGTATGACCAGATTTCAAGCGGCAGAAAAGCGGTAACCATTCAAACTTGGATCCAAGAATGTTGGTTCTTTTCCAGTCTCTTTTTGACCGACGGTAATGAAGTGAAGATGCGAGTGAGGCACTCTGAAAGTACCAACGTTCCTTAGCTTAATATGGGCTGTGCAAGGCTTTTTTAGGCATAATTTTTCGAATTGTTCCAAAATGCACTTAGTTTTCTATGAATAATAATAATAATAATAATAATAATAATAATAATAATCGCCCACGTGCAAAAATCTTTCGGCGCCATGCTACTCAAAGGAATCACGATGGTTGGGATACTGTCAGGTCGCTCAAGGCTAGACAAGGGAAGTCAAGATGCAGGGGTTACGTTCGAACCAGGGGGCCTTCTGGTTAACCGCTGAGCCATTCCGAGCTAAAGAAGAGTTTGTTTTATCAGGTATTCTTCTCCAAGGAAAAAAAACAAAACCCTTGTCCAATAGAGAATCAAGTGGTCAAAATTTTGAATAAGAGTGACATGAATCAAGCTCGGGATAAATTTTACATGGAAAATCTTGCGGACTCCGTATTGGAACAGAGCACGTGAGATACGCAACGGCAGGCATGGGTGGTTCAGAGCAAAAACAAAAACAAAGCTAAAGTGGTGGTCCTAGTGACATCTTGGCACTGGACTAATAGACAATCACGATTTGATGAGATAAGAGCAACAGATGGTGTCTCAGGGGACGGACGTGTGGTGAACACGTTCAGAAGCATACCGAACTTCACAAAACAACAGAGTTTCGTGGTTGCACATATAAGTGGGCATTTTAGTGTCACTCAAGGGACAGGTTAGATGTAAACAGTGAGGCAAGAACCACACCGGGTATGTGAAACTCTGGTAATCACTATGCAATAGACAATTGTTTGTTTAACAGTTGCTAAGACAATTGAATCGCGTTCCAAAAACGACGGTGAACAAGCACTAACACTTGTATATATAAATATATCCCGTATGACCAGATTTCAAGCGGCAGAAAAGCGGTAACCATTCAAACAGAGGGAATATGGGTGAGGCGCGCGAAGTTCACGCGGAAGACGGTTCACTATACAGAACAGTATGTAGATCAAGACACAGTGTGGATTGGCATACACCAAACAGGATGAATCACAAATCAGGGGCTACAAAGAGCATAAAACCACGAAGACCGAGGGCGACCATGCGCGAGCGACAGCGAATGGCTCAGGTGAGTAGGAAACTCTCGGTTTGAGTTGGCAGCACGTTTTTACCCTTAACATATTGATTCTACCATAGTTTCATTTTTTCCAAAAGGGTGCGGGTGTAAAGATGATCACGCAAAGACCGCGATGTCAATCTGCATCACTGTATAATAGACGACCCAGCAGTGACTGGGATCCTCGAACACAGAAGGTTGAAATGTACCGAAAAATTTATACACATAGTGCCATGCTACTCTAAGTGGAGTTTATATACCCAAATCTCGATGAGTAGACAATGTCTACCGGACTAGACCACTCGTAGATCTGAAGCAACCGTGGTGTACCTTGAGTAAATACACGTGGATACCATCTCAACTACGTGGCCGGGTTAAGTTTCCATGTACCTAACCAAGCACGACCTATACCACGGACTCAACCAAGGCGGATGAAGAATACTGACTCGCGAAAAAGATTACAGTCAGAACTCCGCTACTCAAAATACGTGACTACCTGTTGCAAACCAAAATTTAACACTGGTTGCAACAGAACGCCACTTACCACCGTGCTAATAATACGCTATTTCCGTCAAGCCTAAGGAATCAATGCCTTTCAGACACAAAGGAGAGCCCAGTTTCTGACCCATATAATTATAAGACTAAGCACAGAGCTGTATATTCTGCTTTCGGCAAAAAGTTTAACCGCATTTTGGTGTGGCTTCTCTAGGAGATTAGTGAAAGCCATCCAGTTCCATAAGTGAAGTCACCTATCACTAATTCGCACGGTGCAAGCACGAAGCTTGTGGTCAGTTTCATCTGGTTTACCAGCAACCTTCCCGCACGATTCAGTTCTAAGGTGTGGACAGAATAATGCAGCAGAATTAACGAGGTTACATCCGACGGAATTTACCTCTGTCGTAAAACTCCTCACTTTTGCAGGACGGTTTTTTCCACATGCCCCCCAAAACCTAGGATTTGATGACACGTTCGAATTTTCGTATAGTTCACGAATTTTTAGCATGCAAAAGATAGTAGTACCTTAGTGCTAGTAGGTCGCCTGTTTTTGTATCTGCGGTAGAATACAAGTCCCATTCAAATAATACGGTTTCGAGTGTAAGACGCAAGCAAAGTATACGTGAAAAAATACGCACTATTTGCGCTTTCATGGCTCTCTTTGTCATCTGTGTACACAACGCATTTTTTTTGGTTGAATTGTGCATCGAGCGTGAACCACGACGCACCGCCACACCCTGGTGGTACCACTTAATTTGAAAGCGCAGCAGACCCCATAGTCATAGCAACCTCCAAGGCTTAGTTAGTCCTTCTAAATGATTTTGTCGATACACAGTGACTTTAAAAAAATTAACGGGTTTGAAGTGTAATACGTATGTACCATGATCCGAAAACCACGTACTATGTTACTATGTTATCAGTATTCGAAAGGATGGTCCACTGTGCTCCGTTAGCCAGTTGATTTAGTCTGCTAAAGCCATGGCCATCGTGAAACGGGGGCCGAAGTTGTGTAGTGCTTTCCTGACCCCTTGGTGCGGGCTCACTTGAATGACTGCGCCTGGACAGGAGAACCACTGTTCAAACGAGTCGTGTGAGTATGCATTCTACAAAATCCAGCAACCACCAACACCTGAAATATTTTTGTCAGTGGTATTGCTCTGATCTTTAAGAGACAAATTCTTACAGAGGTTGCTGTAAAATTCTGCTGGCTTATTTGAGCTACGCTGAGGTAAGAACTTGGCGGGATTCGGGAAACAGTGTGAAACTATCATATGCTGCGCTCTTTTCAAGTGCGAAAGAAAAGCTTATCTCTATACGGCTTCAAATCTAGTTTCTACTCAGGCTGAAAAACCCGAAGTACGGCGAATCTGTCTCATTTTTTCTATAAATCAGCAACAGTATGCGTTTGGCGTCCATTGCGTTTCAAGCTTGCAATCTGACATTTCACTTTTCGGCCACGGACTGCTGATTAGACGTGTGATCAGCCTGTATTAAAACAGAAAATTGTACAGTTTATCCTTGATGTCCAGTGACCTGGAGTTGACTGACTCTGATTGATGACGCTGAAGCTCGGCTTGTCCCCATAGGCCTTCTTGATCGGCAGAGGACCATGTAGATCAGAAAATGTAAGATTTTCTCAATACCTACCGAATATGACTTCCATCATCATCATCATCATCATCACTATCATCATCAATGTCTGGGGGAAAGCTGTGCTTGTTACACACAATGCTCGTTACTTCTAGCGTCGCTTTACTCACATTGTCCTAGATCTAACATGCGAAATTGCATTATTATCAATACACCAACTCGCTCATTCGAAGAAAAATGAAAATGCTGAAAAGTAATATATTGCAGAAATTGACTGTGGTGTTAGGATATTTGGTAGTTTCCGATGTCGTTGATGATGATGATGATGAGTTTCCGATAGAGGTTTCGTCCCGTCAATGAAGATAATCCATGCTGAAAAGCGGAGAAGCACTCCACAGCTGTTTCATCCTTATTGGGAATCAGCACCGGTGCGCATCTCATGAAACGTACAGTTTCGAAACTGTGGCCTTCTGACCAGTGGTTGAATACTAAACAGTTTGGCTGCTAACGACCGATAAGCAGTGTGATTAGGTCTCACCTGAAGGGAACAGAGCGCCACTCAGGCTTTAACTACGAGGATGATGTGATGTGGTTTCTGTGAGTACAGGATGAGTGCTACTACGCCCTGTCCAAGTGTGAGCTAAGCACATCGCTCATCATGAGGACGGAATCTTTGTTGCGTATTGCGGGAGGCCTCAAGCTTGACGATGAGCGGTATAGTTCCAATCTTCACTTCTGATAGACACGTCATCAAAACGGTTTAAACAGCAAAAAAGCCATAAGAATATACACCGCCACAGCTTACGCACTATTAGTCATTCTTGCTGACTAATCTTGTTCTTCTGTTGGACAGAAGTGTTACTATCCACGACATACCCTAAAGCATGAAACACTTTTGCTGGTACGTATTTTACATAGGTGAATCAGGCTTTTGACGGTCTACGAAAAGTGGTTCCACGTGGACATATGACGGAGTACCAGCGGCTGAGCAAGATTGCCACGCTTCGGTTGGCAATACAGTACATACGCGCAATGAACCGGATCTTGGGAAGGACTGTTTACGTAAGCATGGAACCCACGCTGAACGTGCCACTCGAGGAATCTATGTGGGAAAGAACAACAGAAAAACCTACAGACAATAAAAGCAACGGACGCAGGGAACAAGCAGGAAGAGCTGGAGGCGAGGTTGTCACAAGGACAAGTTCACAATCCGACTGTGGCGATATTCACTCAGCTGAAAACAAGGTGCTGTTCTTGTTCGGATGTTCTCCGCAACTGGGTTGGCTTGGGCCACAGACAGAATCACCAAGACGCGGTAAGTTTACAACACTCGAGTAACAGAGAATATAAACTGTAACATGGAACCGCTAGTCGGTCGCAGTCAAGGATGAAAAAGTATAACTGATAGAGTAATGATTTGCTACTCTGTTAATGTCAACATAACAACCTCGTTCCCGATAAAATGCAATCAACTGACCGAAAGTGATTTCACGGTTGATAACTACAGGCAACCGCATTGCCTGAAAGCGTCAGACAGTCACATTAGGCTCGTTCGGCTTTATATGAATGGACATCATTCAGCATTCTGATCCACTCAAATATATTGCTTGAGGTGAGTTGGCTGTGTAGCATAATGTTCCGAATAGTTTCGCTTGGGTTTACATGAACATACCAAAAGTCTGACCCACAAAGCAGTGAAGGGATCACTCCCATAACCTCTGCCTCAAAAGTCTGAAGTTACCGGAGCGGATGGCGCAACAGTCTGACCCATTTCGCTACAGGATGCCTGTCTGGACCGAGCATGAGGGGAGTAAGGCATAGCTGTCTGACTCTAAATGCGGCTGCGCACAGCAGACACCTTCTGAGCAATACCATACTCTTGAGTGTTTAAAGTATTTCGACCGCGTTGAATAATCCGCCGGCAATCACGACTAGCAGTTGGGCGATCGGAGTGCGCGCATTTTACGGCCGACTTCTCCCAACACATTCTTTCTTCGGAAGATGGAAGCAACGCTGTTTTCATAAGTATGGACATACTGATTACCTGAAGAAAATACCTCATTCCTAAAGCAAAGCACGGCTTTACATCAGACCGCCTCAAATGTAATGTGTAGCAAGGATTCTTCTTCGTCACTAACCTTTCTGGTATGGTTACACCATAAGGAACTGAGATCCAGCCAGTGTAGCCCACAGGATCACTACAACACAGAAGCCTGACCGGCACAAGGTGACAGCTCTAGGTCGGGGGAGATACGTCCGGATGGATTTGTAAGTATGGCGAAGCAGTCTGCTTTTATGTCTTTTAAGAGTAGTGATCAATGGGACCTGCCACTGAAAAGTCTAAGGTATACCGTCTAGTCAAGTGCAAAAGATGTGAATACGAACATAAGACAAGGACCTCAAGATGGATATTGATTAAGTAAAAGTTAGGGAGAGACTATCGTACTACAGTTGTTCTGTTGGGCAAGATTTCTCCTTGAATCGCGATATCCTTTGAAAAATTAGTCTCCCGTTGTACGATTCCAATTCCAAGCAAACAGTTTTGCAGTCATTGAACTAGAATGAGATGTTGTCGAACATGCAAGTACGGCAAACTGCCCAGGGCGGGAACCTACGGAAAATAGTGGAGTAATTCTCCGATGAAAAAGTTCTTTGGAGAAGGATGAATAATAGGAACCGCATTTAACTACATTTAATTAATGAAAGATCAATTACTCGCAAGTATTCTCAAGTTACTTCAACGTACGATAGAATCGTTTACTTCTAATGAAATGAGTGCTCTAACAACTTGAAACTCTCGCATAGTTGACAGAGAACTTCCACATGACAAAACTGAATAACGATCAGCAACTACCCTGAGATAGGTTGTTATTGACGTATGATATTTACGCTATCTATGACGGTATGACTGTTAAACAAACTTCTATAGCACAATTTAAATAACACATTTAAGGCAATTCTTGGTCATATTCAAATACATAAACTGATGGGAAATAGTTAATCCAGCAATATGTATGATGGTCCCGGTCAGTGGCCGGAAGTTAACTCGTGGTAAGTTAAAAACCAACTAACTTGGACGTATTCGGATGAGGATCGGATTATCTTACATCAGTTCGGATCAATCACCCTCCGAATGAAGTGTAATTGAGTGACAGATTCCTGAACAAACCCACGCACTTAGTTTGGGCTGAAATGTCGGGCAAGTCTAGTTCAGTGAAACCCAAAGGGTAGAGGGATAATGTACCAGCAGTGAAAGTGAATTGGTCATAGTGAATGTGGAAAAAAGCATCATACTTGACCAGGTTACTCTTCCGAAACCCGCGGTGGCTTCAACTTGGCATCTGACCCTTGAATTAGCTTATCGTACACATACGACGCTAGAAGCTTACCGAAGCAACCAGAGCACACTGACAAAGCAAGCTGGATACTCCAGAAATTCAGGAAGCGGGACTCGTTCTTACATTGTTTTTCTGTGGTACAAGCGTTTATAGATATTACACAAATACTAAGTAGACATGCTAATATTCACGAATGTGTATCCCTTCCTATTTTTGATCAACCTGCAGATATTGGATTGCTCCCAGCTGATGATGATGGAAAACTAATGCGAGATGGATGCTACATCCCAAACAGTAATAGAAATTGCAACCAACCGAGTACAACGAGTCAAACTGAAAAGGAGCAGTATGCTGTGACCGAGTACCGATGGGAAAATAAAGGTAATCAAGTAGGAAACTATTTCCTCAGTGAGCGTGGTTGGCAAAGTCGCGATCATCAGACGGCGAGAAAAACAGCCTATTATGGATGGCATGGGGACGCAACTGAACAAGAACATTTTGGGAATGCAGTATCAGATGGGTGGTTGGCGTGCGAAGGCACATGGCGACCATAATTGTATAAACTAATTCGTGCATCAACTACCGTTGTTCTCCTAAACGTGTGTAAAGTAACTGTATAAATCGATTTATACAAGTTAACTGTTTGGAGCTGTTCGAATAAAAAACCTATTAGCAACGGCGATCGATGTCGGAACTGTTGTGGGTCTTTCCGGATCTGGAAAAAACTTTTATTGCGTCACAACAAAGTACAAGAACTTCGCCCCTCTTGAGTGCATGCCTCGTTGGCGAATTCTGATTGCAGTTGACACTAATTGAGACGTAAATGAAGAGACCACAGCTGTTTGTACTTTTGAGGCATCCATCGCCGCATTTTTTAAGGTGGGACAAAGGAACACATAGTGACTTCACATGACGGGTGCATTGGTCAGAGCAGTACGACTAAAAGTTACACTATATAATACGCATATAATCCATGAATGTTTCTTTAGATAGCAGCGAGCGGAAGGCTAATTAGTGAGTTATTTACTTCTTGACGACCTGCGGCCTTCATACTGATAATTCGTTAATAGCTTTACATGAGTCAGGAAACGTTACCTGAGTTTTTTTCGGTTGACCTGAACGGCGTTTGTTTTGACTTGAGCGGGTAAGAGTATGTTAGTTTGGAAAAAGTCGCTTAAGGATACGAACGAATCACACAAATGAGGTTCCACGGAACGATTCGGTTGAGAATAGTTTTAAGCGCTTTTGGTTTTGGGAGAGACTCAGCTGCAACCCAGCTGAGTCTCTCGTTTATGATATTTCCAAGCAAATGAATGTGCTGCACCGAGCCGCCTCATGTTTCAGTTGGTACGACATTCGAGATATCGCGATACATGTATGTACGTAACGCACTACTCACAAGGATGCTAAAACTTCGACTGCCCACGACCAGTTCTCCCTTTTTGCTGCTCTTCAGGTAGACTCCCCGAGTTTTCGTCAACCTTGTTTCCTACTTAAAACCAAATTGCAAGAATTAGCAAAATAAACACATTTTCAAAAAAATGGTTTTGCGTGAGACTCACCTGAAACGCAACTGAATCTCATGTTTATGATGTTTCCAAGCAACTGACTGCGCCTACCTGATGAGCAACTAGAAGGGCGAAACTGGTCGTGGGCTGTCGAAGAATTTTCAGCAACCTTTTGGGTAGCTTTAAGCGCTCTTCGAATTTATCAGAAAAATCAGACCTATTACTACAGAGATTAAGCTCTATTGTACATCTCATGATTTGCTGCATCACAAAAAAAACAGGAGAACACTGTTGTACAGAAATTCAGTTGTCAAGCCCATTGAACAACATCCAGAATTTGTACATGTCAGACATGTTCGTATTTTTCCATTTTCGAAAACAGTGTCCCTTGTTGGGAAATACTAAGGCTAACACTGATGTGAAAAAATTCTTTTCCTTTCTAGCAGATCCGGCATTTTGCCCATCAATACAAACATAAATTCAGTGTGACTTGGACAAGGCAGCTATTTTAGGCTGAATGTTTCCGTTGGGGAAGAGGTAAACACTAATTAGAGGCAACCACTGTACTTGGTTTATTGTGCAAGCCAGAAAAAACAGGTTTGTTTTGAGTTGAAACTCTGTAGAAAAGAGAACCAAAAGCACGACAGCTTCCGACTCTGCTTTTATTTCTGACAAAGTGTAATAAAGAATTGGTAAGGTGGTGTCAAATAAAACATTGTTTTGGAACTATCGTTGGCAGGTGTTTCTGAACCAGAGGGTATCTCAGAAACACCAGACTGCAGAGCAGCATCAATAGGGGAGTGACAGTGATGAGCCGCGGAAACTCGGAGATTCTAATGGGTATGACCATTGTAACTTTATGTGCATTCCAACATCTTGTGGTGCGCATCACTCAGACATGTTGAATAAGAGTGAGTACGGTATCAGGGCAAGTAAGGCCACTGAACAAGTACTTGGATTCATCACGGACCAACCGCTGCCACCGACCAACACTGTCACTAAAATATACGGAGCCATGTAGTTTCGATGTCTCTCCATGTACATATGTGGGCATAGGTTAGTATTTTCGACGTCCAAATGAACAATATGAAGTCACTATTGAGGGCAGTCTTTGCAGCTCAGGTAGCATGGATGGTTATTGGTTTGTTCACGGAACTGGGCAATTTGATTGCAAACGTACCAATCGAGATGTCTTCATTAGTATGTTATCTCTCCACGACTGACTTTGATTCTCGCATATCGATAGACCTACTTGGGCAAAACCATTCGGAAAAAAAACATTCAGGAAAAGGTAGGGGAAGAACATCTGGAACCTACCTCACACAGAGCCATGAGACCGACGTTTTTCTTCTGCGTCGGGTAAGCATAGTTCGCGGACTTTGACGAACAGTCCGCAAAGTAAATGCCCTTGCCAAACATGTATCCTGTTACTGGAGCTTCAGGTGGGGCTACCTTCAATCCACGCCCCAGAATGCCAACCCAGTTGGTCAGCCGACTCCCATGCCATAGAAGCATCCTACACAGGTGAGTAAACAAGCGTGGCAGAAGAGTTGAGTGCTAAGGCCTAATACAACTTATTTACACCTCCTCACTACTGCTTCGTTTATCAGTAACAAAATGGTAACTCGAAAGATAGGGTGAAAATAGACGAGAAGCTTCCACAAGCGGTGCGGAGATGAAAGCACGGATAAAAACATGACAACATCCACAATGGCAGATACAATCGGTGAATAGTGTTGTGCTTCCAGTATAAAAACTTTTTGACGCGTCAAAGTAATCGACTAATGAAGCTTCAGATTGGTGTGTCAACTGATCCCGGGAGGCGATAATCAACGGATGGTTTCAGCTGCTACAACTACATGCTCAAACTAGTTTTACAATTCAAAACCATTCCAAGCAGTGAGGTGATGTTGTGGTAGTATAGCACTACCGAGTGTTGATTTACGATATAATTTAGGGACTGATCAGGAAGATGGAGAACGACGAACTCGGTGGCCACATACTTGTGTTGTCCGCACTCACCCAGTGGCCAAAAGAATTCAGCTAAGTTCACGTAGGATCTGTTGTTGATGGAGAACAACGTCAAGAGCAGTTTAGCGATTGAACATTTCGATAGAAAAGAGTAAGAAAAGAGTTAATCGGAATCCGCCCAGATCACATCGGAAAGGAGCTATCCTGTCGTTTTAGTGAAAACTAGAATAGTCTAGGATAGTGAGACAAGGGGAAGATAAAACGTACTCCCCGGTTTGAATTGAGCCCGGTTACCATTTCCGTACGTTCAATGCAAATCGATGTCAACATACGTAGTAAGTAGATAGTTACAATTAATGGTACCTTGATTTGAGGCAAAAGAGGGGCTTATGGAAACAAAGTCCAACAATACCAAATTGTAGTGCTCCTGGCCTAGTGAACGCATCACCTACCTCTGTGTTTAATACAGATCCATATAGCGTAGCCCAAACAAAGTCATCGGTTGAAAACTACATTCCCTAAGAAACCGTTGGTAGGCTGACACCGAACGAAGTTCGAAAACCAAAGTGGTTTGAGACTTCACCTTTTCGGTTGGAACCGACAGCCTCATCAACAACGATCAGTCAATGAATGAATAATGCATGCTAAACTAATGTCGTGTGCAAATCTGCAAACATCTCCCCATGTTCATTCATCAATTCGAAGGATGGTCAGTGGACAGTTTACACAGAAACTGCAGTTTCACGAAGAACGGTCCCAACTATGCAGACCAAGCCAACTGCAGAGTCTACATTGGAAGAAACCAACGATTAGAACAAAACCCGTCACGGCTGACGGGTTTCTCATGTCTGTCTACCAAGTAGAATAGTGATAATCTAGTGTCCTTCCCCACTACAAAGGTATCAGAAACTCTTCATGACGTACGGAAGACAAGCAGGTGCAGCATACGATCGACCAAATGAATTCGATTTACGGAGCTCATAAGACAATTGGGTGAATAACGTACTGTCTGCCAGACTCTGTGCAAACGCTCGAAGTATGGTCAAATCCTAGACTTTCCCACTGTTGTTACCATGAATACATCGACCAGTTTGAAAAAAATGGCGTACAATAAAGGCTTTAATAAGATATTCATCATCTGGGATTATCAGACAATACGAACAGATTACGCGAAGCACGAAAATCATATTAACCAGATAGCAAGTGATAAAACCAGTAGAATGAATGGAGAAAATGGAGAATATAAAACCCCACATGAAGTGCTGCCAGCTCAGCACGAGACAAGTACACAAACAGCAAAAGAACACGTCAAGCTGCAAAAGCCTCGCATTGTCAGCTTGATACAAAACTCAACATAATAATGATCAATCATCCAACTCACTGGTTGCCATAATTCTTGAACTGTTTCGCTTCACTCTTCTTCGTACACTCAAATATATCAAGCAGCTCCAGTTCATACCAGTTATGGGTAGCACCACGGTTCACACACAAATAGTCCCGTACTATCTGAAGTGTACGAAGAACAACTACCAACAAGAACCTGACGTAATTGGATAGTCACGTGGAAGAGAGTGATTAATTAACCCACACAAATCAAAGAATTAAACTACGACCATATTATGAGTTGAGTGCACAAACGTGACTATAGCTGCACCAAAACGAAGAAAAGCGGGTGGTGGTATGTTTAGCTGGAGCTCACTGAATTAGCCCAGCTGCCATGCCACCCGAAGGAAGCACAAGGGCTGAAATACTACCAGATTGCCCAAACCCGGACTAAAAAACTTCACTAGTACAAAATATACTAGATCATCAATCGAGTATGAACTTTGCTGAGCTCTGACAAATTGTGCAAAACAGTACAGAAATGAAGTGGGTCCTCACCCAGGTGCTTGTCAGCCAAATCTGACAGGCAACAAGGTAAAGAAAGCGAAAGTGACCTAATCAAACGGTACAGATAACCATAAACCACTCATATATTTGCGCAATGCAAATTAGCCTCTCGAGCAGCACCATCAATTGTGAAACTGAATTGAGTTCGGGAGGCGGATAACGTACCGTATACATTGGATGGTCTGGTTCAATCGGTTTCAGTTCACACTCCAAGCGCTGATACTGGGAATCGATGAGGTTCTGAGTTGGCTTCTTATCCTTTTTCATCATATTCACGGCGAACTCAATATCATCCAGGGCCTCGAGGAGCTCTAGCTTTTCTTTCACTTCATCCATCGTGCGCAATAGAGGAGGTACACGCATACTGCGTTGAAAATGGTGAGAAAGAATGGGCATTACTGAAGAATCCACGCCTTTGCACACACATGTGCCCGAAATAAGAAGCGAAAGGACAAGGACTGTACTGCAAAGTACGTAATTTAGACATCCAAAATGAACTCATGACGTAATTACATCAACATTAATAGTGATTGGCTGGTTGGCAGTAGTTGATTTACTGGACGTCTGCACAGAACAGGTAAAGCAAACTGTTTGGGCAAACTGGGCAGGGTCGAATGGGGCTTCGTGTGAAAGCTAAGAATGCCGATATTAAGTCGGGGAATAGGGTCGGTGAACAGGTTTCTGATTATTATTGTTTAATTGCATTACCATTATTGTGCGCTTGTATCATACCGGAATATTATATAACGACACGCCAAAAAAGCAACCACAGACACTAAGCCATATGGTAGCAAAGCAACGGTGTTGAACGCTCATGACGATGAAATTAAACCAGAAGCTTAATTAGTTGATTAGTTTCGTCCAGAACATGCTCAATTTTGTCGGAGTGCGATCAGTCAGATTGAACACTTATCACGCAGTGCATTTCGAATGATAACTTGAATGTTTAACTGGAAGGAGGCTAATGAGTACCATGTAAAGTTTGCATCACAAATATCCTCCCAAGTTTTTTTTTGGAGAAACTCGGTTCCAAGTAGAGTTGCCAGTTGCTAGTTAACAAACTTGACCGCTTATTATCTACGGGTGGTGTAAACCTGTGGACCTCCTAGCTAGCGTACACTGAGTAACTAGTTGCAGTAAAGAGATGCATCAGGTAGAGTGAGTGGAACATTCTTACTATGAGACCGCTTAGACTAGATGGCCTGGAAATTAACAGATTTGTCAGACACAGCGCCACTACCCATAATCCTTCCTCTGGTCAACACACTTACGAATTCAAAATATGAGAACCCAATTTTGTCTAAAAACCGGTCGACCTCTCCCTAAAAGGTAAGCTCCCTATCTGGAACCAAGATGTGACTCTGTATTGCTTTGCCTGTGACTATGCGGCAAACTATGTTGTTTGGATAATCATGCGCTTAGCATAACGAATTCGAGAGCACCATTCGACATGAAAGAATATCACAAGAAATTTCGGCTTAATGGACCGGAATCAAACACCAATCAGATATGAATTCCGCTTTCTAAATTATTCATAAGGTTTTGACAAATCAAAAGTTGTGAAACGACACGACCTAGCTACAATGAAATTAATCACCAGACTAAGAAGCTCTGTTCTGTGTCCGAAAGAGACGCCTACAGGCACTACACCTGAAACGGCTCCGAACGGAGAGCTCAGACGTTTATACAAAAAGAACCTGACTACGTGGTTACTGCTGACAAAGTATAACACTTTTAATGATTTTCGGACTGATTTTTAAGAAAAAAGTGGTAGCCCAACTCATATTGAGCTTTTTATATTACGGCCTTGTAATTGTCTCGGCTGGAGGAAAAGTATCCAAAAACGTATGGTCATCAACACACTTTTTTGTGATTGCATGGAAATCCTTTGGTTACTTCGTACAACACAATGCAATAAGCCCATTAAAGAACCACCCACCCCCTCTTCGCCCGGAGAAGATAACTGATCAGCAGTACATAGCATTCCTCGTCAGATTACCATAAGACTATTTCTGGAGAGCCTAACACATGAAGTCTGATTCTGTTCCGCGAAGAACGGTTTTGCTTCTCGAGGTAATAAACCCTATTATCTACTAGAAAATGAGGTAAAATCCACATGGTTCAACAACTATCTAATATTAGGATGCAGGTCAACATACCGATTGCGCCTAATTTGTTCAAATCTTGATGAAACCAGTCGCGTGAATTTAAACCCAAATCCGGAATCCTACAGTCCCTCTTTCCAAACGCTACTATTTCGACCCCTCCACCCAGACATAGCTGACTGAGGTAGAACACTTATTAATCATTTGCTGGTACCGATCAAAGAAACCATGCACTCTAGTGGAATGTAGCAAAGGCATTGAGTACAGCAATACACCAGTATTTAATATTGATGCCTAGTGTGGAGACAGCGATCTCGTAAGGAGCTGAAGAAAAGGGAACACAAAGCCTAGGGTCTTTAGAGGAAACGAACATGAACCAGATTCAGTCACCTCCGAGCAGTCATCAGATGTGCAAATCAGAGTATTGTGTTCGATCGGATCTCAATCAGCACGACTTAGCTAGATCGGTTGACTGATTAAATAGAGGCAGCGCAAGTTATGCCTGCTAAGCAATGCCGAAGGTGTTTTTGTTGTTAGTTCAATCCAGCTGATCCGAAAGAAGTGTGTACACCTCGGAATTCTTGTAGTATGTCCATAATACGTCCATAACCTTTCACCTTCCATTCTTATTTCTCACAGTAAGACTTTCATGTAAACTGGTTGCAAGACAGTGAAACACTGGCGTTAAACGGCGACGTGGTGCTGCTTACGACGACGACAGTGACCGACCCAACACCTTTTGCGAACCCAAGCCAAAAACAGTCCAGCGCACAATGACAGATTAACGTTAGCTTGGCATTCAGGTTAGGATGGTAGTACGAGCGTCATTGGAACTTGTCCCATATCACCTCCAGTAGTGATTCGAGGCAGGTGCAAGGACTCCGAGCAGGAGTCCGCAAACATCCTGCAGCACTCTGTTTAACCGTAACCGTTCTCAGTTTGTGTTGCCATGTCATGACCTATTACATGTCAAATTTTCGCCATCGATGGATTCGAATAGATGACAACGCCTCCCTGGGTAGATGATGATTCGGCAACCACCTGGCCTGCTACGTAGGCGATTTCGATTCGTTAACGGTAACTGCTTTACGCAATAATTCGTCACCGACATTCTGCAATCAGCTGGCTCTTGCTATGTCAAGAAGGCAAAGAAGACCAAATGTTTGGAGGCACATTATAAGTGGACAATTTTTACAGTCAATGGAGTTTTCAGGTGAATCCCATTTCTGTCTGAAGTCCCCTCAGAAGACATCATGAGAGTTGGGTAAAACTTGTTGCAAAATATCGATGATGTAACGACGGAAATAAGTGAAGTTAGGATGACAGCAGATTCTCAGGTACCACCTGTTTTCAGGATGGTGTTTATACAGTCATGAGATGTACTGTGGGCTCTTATCAGTAGTTGGAGATTGTAGATTACAATATCGCTTCTAAGACAAATTTGAAGTTAGTAGAAATCCTTATCAAAGTAATTTGACGAATCGAGTTGAAACAATCCAGAGCCCGACAATGATGTTAGCAGACGTTGTTCAGAACAAAAGAGCCCAAACAGTGTGTTTTGAAGCAACAAAAGAAACACTGTACTACACGATGACGCATCGCTACTGATCTAAATACTGATGACGTTACGTGGATTGATGAAGAAACGTTTGCAACGAAATTACCAAGCACAGAAAACAAATAACCATGACACATGCACTTTATTTACACAAGGACACAAGCTCGGACAGTGGCTGCGGAAATTATCTGGAGAACTCATTTCTGTGCAATTTCTCCACGACCTGGCATGCTAATGTTAGATCCCTTATATTATCACTGAAGAGAATTCATCCCCTAGGAAACTGCAAAAAGTCCCTCTCATCGGAAGGGGGTACTTTAGACCATTTGCTACATGTCAGTAAGGGGTAAACAAGGAATTTCGCCAGGGACCTCGTTGCAGAAATCAAGATAAGGAAATTCTAACGGGTCAAAAATCACCTGCACATCTTGTATTCGTTTAGAAATCATCTAGGGTACTGTCATACAACTGAGGGCACTTGACGCCGTATGAGTGCGTAGTTGGCACCAGTAAAAACGAGTGTTACCGAGGATCATGGAGACTATACAATACAAAGCTAGCAGTGAGTTAATCACCCGTGGGTGATGTTTATAATTAATGAAGTGCTTTCTAGATACGTATCTGACACAATCTGTGTTAACCGATTCAATCTCTATGCAACCAGCACACCGCAGAGAACGGGTATGTTATCATCAATTCAATCATTTTATAAGCTATAAACCGTGTACCACAGGCGCATCGCTACCAGGTGCTACAGTTTCAGTCACCGGAAAGTGGAAGAGTGTGGGAGATACGGCCAAACCTTAGCATGTTCAATTAGTTCGGGAATCGAATACCTAAGCACTGAAGGCGATAGGTTTGATGCACGATGGCCATCGACCGCGAGATTGCGCCATTTTTGCCAGTTCCATTAACCACCAGTGAGTTGAGTCTCGGAGTTCCAACCGAGGGTCACGACAGTCGTTGGACCGACTAAGTTCACTGGCCAGTGTTTCATACTTAGTTGCCGGGTCATGCACTGTCTACCTCCCGGTCGCTGCCGTTCAGTAAAGGGCTGGGCGAAAAGAGCTCCGTGAGGCAGACGGTATTCTGGCATGCGGAGTACATGTCGTAACCAGCGAAACCTATGAAGCGTGAGTAACTTATCTATCATGGGGGAGTTCCTTCTTCCTAAGGACATCTGGTGTACAGAGGCATTGCTAATCCGATTTTCCCACCAAGCCTGACCAATGCTTCGGAGACACCCACGGTCAAACACTGACATCTTTCTTACGTCCTCTTGTGTAGAGACCACGTCTCTGGCTCAGTGGTTAGAGTGCTAATTTACTAGCCGAAAGGTCTGTGGTTCGAACCCGAACTCTGCCTCCCAACTCCCCCTGTCTAGGTTTGGGCAATTCGACAGTATCTCAGCCCTCGTTCTTCCCCTAGTGGAATGGTAGTTAGGCACCGAAAGGGTGCTGCAGCTGAACGATTTCGACGGTCGACGAGCTCCACTCGGATTATATTCTGTTTTCGGTCCAAATTTTCTGAAGTATGGTTGCCAGGACCTCGCCACCTTTGTAGAGTGCAGGGTGCAGACCATCCGGGTCAGGTGCATTATCGTGTTTCAGGAGTGATTGATTAGATTCCGGTTGCCGATGGAGACTTGGTTCCAATGTTCTATTCAGACACGCTGGGTTCTTCCAGCGGCTGTGTTGAAGGAGACCAACTGAACTGTTGTTCGAAGTGCTCCGCCCACAGCTCAAAGCGATGAATGAGGTAGTGAGGTGCCATTCCGTCTTTTTCGCATAGTATTTTACTGACAACTGATTTCTTTTGGTCGGTTCCGTGAATCGGTTTAAATAGGGTGCGGCTGTTGTCTGCAGCGAAGGCCTTCTCCATCTCCTGGTTTTCGGAAATCCACCAGCGTTGTCATTCTCAAAGCTACTGATAACCCGGTGTTTGAGGGATTTGCGTGCGCCATCACAGTTGCTGGTAAGGCCTTTCTGTCAGCGCTAAGATCTGTTGACCTCAACGATATCCACTGTTCATTTAATTGAATCAGATGGCTTGTACAAAGAGTTCTGAAAGCCGAGAGTATAGCTTTTTTAACTCGCCTCCATTCAACCTCCGGGCAATATTCGTCATCTGTTCGGCTGTGCGTTTCTAGTAGCTTTCTAGCCCGATCATCTCAATACTCTCAACCAGTCGAAGTTGAACGGAGTTGCGCTCCACTGGCACGCGTGATGTTGACGAAAAGCGAAGTGATAGCCGAGCCCTCAAAATAGCATGGTCAGAGTTAAGCGGCACCAGAATGAACGACAATCTTTTACTGAAGCTCTTCATCGGTAAGTGATAGCCACATGGTTTAACTGGGTCCAAGACCGTCTTGTGGGAAGATGTAGGGTTTTGTTCGGTGATCCTGTCTTTAGCCTATGACTCAAAAGTCTGAACCGCGAGAAAGCAGTTATTAGTTTTTTTTGGAGGGGGGGGGGGCTT